TCATCCTCTCTGGAGAAAGTACTTTCCCGAAGGAGGAGAAAAGAAGACCCTGGGAATGAGGTTGTTCTTCCTACCGACTCTACTAATCATAAATAAATAACTAGAGGAGACAACCTGGGAACGACTTATTTGCACCTCTTACCACCCTACAATGCCCACAAACAATAGGATAGTAGTCTCTTTAGTTATACAACTTTTTTGAAAGCTTGGGTTTATAAATTTCTCCAGTTAAGATGTGTGTTATATACCTTTTGACCACTTTAATGATGAATTTCTAGAAGTGCAAAACTGAATACTAAAAACAAACACAAAAGAACTATTGGATGTGGAGCACAGCTCTTTTAGACTTTTGTCTCAGTGGATTACATTTTATTCAAGGGTATTGCTTAACTGTTGTGTGTATAGGGGGAGGGGTGGAGAGTCAAATGTAAAGTTACCCCCTATTGGAAAATACTTCTTCTGCCCCTGATGAGCATACTTTAGTTTTACTGGTAATGAGAACATTACTCTTCCCCTCCCTCTCCCCCGTTGCCCATTTTTCCACTTAACACCTACTCCCTCGGCAAAAATTTTCCTTGCCTTAATCCTCCACAGTTACCAAATCTAAGATAGCGGCCTAATACGAAAATGTGCACTCGTGCGCGCCCAAAATACGCCGGCACTGCAGGATAGGAATTAGTGTAAATTGTTATAAACTGGGAAGGCTATCTGCACAGCTTCACTCTCCTCAGATTGGGTAGATTATTGTATATTTTTACTGTTAATGGGATCAATTTTTGAGTCCTTGATATAAGAAGGGTAAAGTTGCTGAAAAGCTGGAGCATAAACCCCTAATCACCTTAAGAATGACTGACTTCTTGCTTCTCCTTATAGCATCACCTTTGAATGAAAATGGTTAAAGTTATAAGAATAAAGGATGTGATCGCCAATTTGACAAGCTCCTGACTCGCGCCCAACACATTCTACTTGTCAGTACCATAGAAAATGTAAAGGGAACAACATGAATGCTATTGTTTGGTTGCAAAAGGTTAACATTAGGCTTATGGCAAAGAAATTCCAAGATTGAAAAACTAAGTGTTACTTTATTTGGTAAATCAGTGCTTTCACCCATCAAAGAACCAAATTAAGGCAATTTCAAAGTTTAGACAAACATGCCTTTGACTTCAACAATGCTTATGTCGTAAAATGACAAATAATCCAAACAACTGCTGATATGAATTTGTCTAGGTCCTCGAGCTGCTATCGAGAGTTATGAAGCTATTCACCTATCCTCATATTGCAGCAGTGCTCGCAACATTCAGCATGTTGTACAAATAAATGAAATGCATAATTTAGCTGTTGTAGTTGTCTATCTACTTCGTCAATCTGTTCCTGCAGTCTTTTATTTGCCTGCTCCAAACTTTGAAAGCGTTCCCTCCTGAAAGAAAAGAATGGAAATTGATAAATCATTTAATCTTAATCACTAGCTGCAGAGGTCTTGAGCACTTGCAGTCTATTGCTGTGGTATTTCAACAACTCCACCATGTTACAATGAAACGAGTTTTCCCCGCAAAAGTCGGGATAGAAAATTTCTGAATAGAACTGACTTCAAATTTTCTTGAAAGTTAACAGTTTTTAGATGTACTTCGTAGGTCGATGATATTATGGTTACCTCCTCTTCCTGTATTTTCGACTGCTCTCCACGTTTCGAGCCCTTCTTTTCCCGTCTGTTTTGTAGAGTCTCCCTTCATTTATAGACGTCTTTGTAGAGGACCACGATGTGAAGGGAAGAGGACTCTGGATACTTGGGGAAGAACTAGTCGCAACCTGTTGACAAAATGCAAATCAATTGGTGACTTTTTCTCCCAAGTGTAACCCTCCTCTACCTCACGAAAGGTCACATAAAAACAAACTATATCTTTAGATACCTCTTGTTGGTCAGCAAGCTTAATGCATACAGCCGGGTCTGCATATATTGTAAAATTCATATTGATAGTTTGGCGAACGACTGTTTACTTCCAGTGAGCACAGAATGACGACAGCCTCAAGAATTACCTCGTACCCAGGTCCTATGAGACAAACTCCATTTCAATCTTTGGGGTGGTACAAGATAATTTTGCTATATACAGTCTAAGTTAATTTTTCTGACCTTGACTATAATTTATATGTTTCCTAAGGTTATCCCTTTAGCCATTTCGAAAATATCCCTTTAAAGACGTTGGAAATCATTATCTCATAGAGTTTGTAAATAAAAGTTTAAAACCGGCGTCGTTTCCCTCTATTTTATGCGCAGCCAATGAGAACTCGAACTCTTATCACGTGACTCTTCAACCCAAACAAGAGGAGCGTTGGGAACAAGCTATAAATTTGTAATGATTTTTCAAAGCTCTAAACAATTTGATTGTAGGATAGAGAAAGAGCGTTTTTATCTCATTGAGGGAGGTAACTTATTTCTGGGAAGCTTCACACATAGTTTAACAAGAAGACATAAAAATGGATGAGGGATCAGTGGAGGTAACTTGTGTTTTAAGCGCTTTTTGCATTGGTGAAGAGTTGATCGAATTTATTTACTGAAATCAAATCTGATACTCGTACAGTCGCCTTAGTATTAAGTCCTTTTCTGTGAGCTTTGAGTTTGAGAAAACGAAAAATACGGATTCTGATGAATGACTGTGAGAATGATAAGAACTAAAAAATTATTCGCGGATGACCGTTTTTCAAAACTCGTCATCAAAATGGCGGTCGACAATCTGAAGTCTTACGCCGTAGAGAACATATCATTCGACAATGTCGCAGAGAATATAGGAGAGGTTTTAAATTCAAGACCAATGACTGACACACCATCGATTATTTTATACAAATTAGTATTTTTGTTTTAAGCTTAAACGTTTTTCTAAATAATAATAATAATGGTTTGAAAACCGGAGACTCAAAACATTGACAAGAGTTATTTCAAACAATCACATTCTGAGGAGATCCTAGAATTATTAAGCTCATCAAATCAAAACAAGAAATACGTACATGCAATTATTAAAAGATTAGAGGTGACGTCATGTTAAGGCTAACAATTATAAACGCTGCAATATTTTAGGAGGTAATTCCATCGCATGCAGACTGACTCCGAATGTTAAAAAGTTAGGTAAAGCCTGTAGTGACCCTGAGACCATCAAATGGTAATCTCGTCGATATATTAATTTCCAAATTTGTAAATGAGATTGTGTTATATTTAACAATTATTCCACGAGCGCGCATTGGATATGAGATGATAGATAGCCAACGAGGCGCGTAG